AAGAAAAGAGGACGAACGATGGGTGTTGGATCCATCAGGGATGTCCCTACAGCTTCTTCATCCGCTCGGTATTCTTACTCTCCGAGTTCTTCTGACCCGCAGTTGGTAACGCAGTTGACCGCTGCTAATGCTGAGATTGAGTGGCTAAAGACGGAATAAGCGGATCTTCGGACAACCAACACCTTGATGCAAACCCAACTCTCGACGTGGACAAGTCTCATGGACATTATTACAGTGAGTAACCCGGATTTAGCAGCTGCCTAGGCAAACATCCAGCGTCCTGCACCGCCTCCTCCACCTACCTATCCAACGCAGTTCGAGAAAGAAGCCGAAACTATGATTCAACAAGATACAATTAACCTAAGGAGCCAACATTAGATTTTAAATTTGCGTTTGTATTTCAGTTTAATTTTCGGATAATTAAATTTGCGTTTGTACTTCAGTGTTTTTAGACAATTAAAATTTTCATTTAAAATTTTATAAAACTGATTTTATAATATTTTCAAATTAATATTTAAAAAAAAAATAATCACTAAAATCGACGCTAATTCGATGCAATGTAGCGACGAATTAGCGTCGGAAACGTCATTTGTCGAGCAAATTCGATGCTAAATTAGCGTCGAACTAACGGCGGAGTCGTCATTGTCGACGCTAATTCGACGCTAATTTAGCATCGAATTTGCGTCGAATAGTTGCATCGAACGATCGGCGACGTAAGTTCGATGCAACTTTAGCATCGAATTAGCGTCGACTATGGTTTAGCGTCGAATATAATACGACGGTAATTTACCGTCGAATTAGCGTCAAATTTTTTACGACGCTAAATTAGCATCGAATTTGCGTCGATTTCGGTTTAGCGTCGAATTATGATTTGATGCTAATTCGACGCTAAAGCCTCTTAGCGTCGAATTAGTATCGAATTTTGCCGATGCTAAAACTGTGTTTTTTTGTAGTGAACTTATGATTTGAAAACAAGAAAACAAATGATAATTATTGATTATCAAGACAATTTAAACGATTAAGTTATATTTTTGTATTGAAACAAAAAATCAGTAAAATAAAAAGGATTACTCCAAACATCCTTTAACATAAAAACAGAAGAAATATTCGAATTAGTTTTGTCCATATCCTAGAGCGAGCGATATCCACACACTGCATGGAAGGCCAAACTTAATGAATTGTTGGTCGTTTTAGAGAGTGGGCATTTGAGAGAAGAAAACAAATCTAACTTTGGTAAAAGCAAAGTGGGAAAGTGGCTAATCGGAACAAAAATGATAGTACTGTGATTAGAGATAATCACAGTGAAAGAATAAAAGAATCATTTTATGTTCTTAAGTTTTGACACTTGGAATTTTGAACAACAAAACGTCCATTGGCATTTACAAACGCCCCCCCCCCCCCCCGTCTTCGAATTTCATAGCTCTCCAGTAAAAGAAGAAAAAAGTTGGTGGTATTATTATCCATTAGTTAATATTTTTGTAAGTTTAATTTTATGTTGATAGATTGATTTGGACTTCCACGTCTTTTGTGCAATTTCCGAATTCATTTTTTTCTTTCTATGTTTTCTATTTGTAAAGAGCAATTAGGTGATGATTGGATGTCAAATGAACACATGTATCATTGAATAGATACTAATAAACTAGCGGTTTGTTGAAGGCATTGTGTGTGTTGGATAGGACACTTTCATTTCTACCATTTAAACCTAAACGTTATTTTTGTTCATCATTAAATTTAGGGAAATTGGCATTGTGGAGAAATGAGACCCATTAGATTATGACAATTTGGTTAGTTAGTGAAATATAATTTTTTTTTTAAGTTATCTTAGCCAATTTCCCTTGTGATATAGTTCATCATTTAACCAAATTAAGCCAATTTAATATTTCAACAAAAC